CCCCTCTCCTTGGCACCCCCTCCCTGGCACCCCTCTCCCTGGCCCCCCCTCCCTGGCACTGCTGCTTCCTACCTGGAGAACTGTCCCTCACCGTCCCCTGTGGGGCCACCATCTCCAGCGTTCACCCACAGGAGGGGTCCCACCAGTGAGCATCCACCCACGACTGGCCAGGGCAGCTGCCCCCCAGGAGAGCAGCAGGGGCCACTGGACGGAGTGCTCCTGACCCTACCTGAAGGCAAGGGACAGAGGGACATGAGCTGCTCTGGGCTGCCTCTCCCGGGGTCTCGGCTGATTCTGGGGGAGGACGCCGAGAAGACGGGACACAGATTTCCAGCCTGGGAGCAGGTGTCCAGCGCGGTCAGAGGGCGGGACCCTGAAGGCTGCATGAGAGTTAGGGCACGCAGGCCCTGGCAGCCCTCGGGGGGCCAGAGGCCTGGAACTCCGGCAGGTTGCCAGCACCCGGGCAGCGGGCACCGCCAACGCTATCCCCCTCCAGAGAGGCCTGACCATCAAGGCCTCCGGAAATGTCCACAGTTTGTCACCACAGTCCCCCCGGCAGGCCACCAGGGCATCAGTGAGGGAGACACATGGGTGACCGGGGTCTGCGGCCCCCGTGGGGCAAGCCACCAAGTCTTCCTGCTCGAGATGCACAACGTACGTAAAACCATGTCGGGAAACGGAGAGCTGCAAACAAAGGTGTGGGAAGTCCTTAAAGAAGCCATTAGAAACCCGGAAATGAAGAAAGAGAAGGACCAAAGTCTCCTCTGTGGGAGTCACAGCAGAGCACGGCCAATGGGGCGTGGGCGACAAGAGGGGATCCGCCGGCTGGAGCCCAACGCCCGGAGCAGGCGGCACGGGCAGAGAGGAAGAGCGTCTGCAGCAGGGGACAGCCCACAGCAAAGAGCAAGGACCGAGGCAGAGCCGACTCCCGGCACGAAAGTCACTCCAGGTGGGCACAGGCCTCAACAGAAGCACCAAGCCGCCAGGCTCCCGGGAGACGCAGCACACCCCGGTGGACGTGGGCTGGTGAGGACCTCGTGGGTACGTCGGACCCTGAAAGGAG